GCTCAGTTTTTTTTTACGTAGCTAAGAAAGATGGTTTCTTGAGCCAAACTTATGGATTTTTAGGGGCTCCTGCCCCGCAAAATTTGAAAGCACATTTTTGTTTATGAATTGCTTCTTGGAGCTGCACTCGTATATAGCAATACCTACTGTAGGGTGAACATTTCCCGTAGTGCATTGACGTTAAAACAGAATGCATGATCTTGCCATATAACTGATATGCATAACGATAAGTATTTCCGATAAGTGTTTCACATGATATGGCTATCTCTGACTGCAGCTCAGCCATGGCTCAGAAACGCGGATAGGATTTTGACCTGACCACAGATGGCTATTCATATGTAAATTGTGCTCGAAAAAGACATCAGATAGCTGTAGTATGAATAGAAATCGGACAGGGGGAAGGGAGCACATTCCGTCGCCCGTCCGTATTTGGATGACAAGCGGGGGCACAGCTGACTTCGAGGAATCCAAGGCGGCTGGGACCTTTCGGTATTGCTACAATACCGAGAGAGGCTTCAGTTCAAGCTTTGTAAGTAACGTTGAAAAATAGCCACTTTTAGTGTCATTGTCTTCTGTTGCAAGAAACGATATATTGCAATGAATCGTCCCTATATGTTAAAATGACATGAAAATGACATGAAAATTTAGGAATGTATGTATCTGTGTTTGCATATTGTGGGTTTAATGTCGAGTGCATATATGCAAGTGTTGCTAGCGCTACATATGATCACCAGGGCCAACTGGCATTTGTGATGACAACTATATGAATACAATGAATACAATATGTTCTTTATTCTGTCCAAGATATGTCTGCCCTTAGTGCTATTTCTAGTCGCCAGCAATATGTTTGCATGAAAGTGAGTGATGTATTTATGGTCATGTGGTTATGGTTAGGTAGCGAAATCATTGTAATAATGAACTTCTATGTTTCAAAGGTCACACAAAGCGGTCGTATTCAGCATCTGGTGGACTGGATTGGTAGGACTTGCAAGTTGTTTCGATGTACGAGCCGTTTCTGTGTTGCATAAGTCGTGAAACACTACCTCAACTGTTTGCTTTTTCACCCTATAGCGTAGATAGCTGTCTGTTATTGCAAGAAATAATCTACCACAGGTAATCGTCTTTTTTTTCGCTTTGCTCTGGTATTCGTCTCGATAAGATCAGCTAATTTTAGTTGCAATAAATCAGGCGACACAGATAACGAGCAATCAACTGGAGAATGAGAGGCAATAATTATTCTTTTGATGGTTCCGGTCGCCAGAGCTGTTTTGAGGGATCGCTTTAGAATGTTTACCAGCCGAAGCATTAATCATATCGCACTGTCAAAAATCAAAGACAATCTACTAGCTAGAGTGTGAATTTGAACCCCATTTCGTACGTCATCCCAAAATTGTTAATTAGGTACCTGAATCACAGAGATAAAAAGGAATGGAACTGCTCGTTTTCCGTTGGAATCGCTCTTGCGACCGCTCTGTTCCTCTTATGTTGACTGTCGCTCTCTTTGAAGCTGCTATGGTAGAACATTTAGAAACTTATTTCTCACGGCAAACCCCAAAAACAAGATTGAATTTCCATTCGGCTATTAAGTCCACCAATCAAAGCAGTTAGTTCTTTCAAGAGTCTAGTGCAATGTTTTGTTAGACATTATTTAAACCCATTACTTATTTCAATCGGTGTCAGTTCTGGTATCAGTGTCAACCTCAGGGCCATCTCCATGGGCGTGACGCTCTATGCACGTGACGCTCTATGCACGTGCCAGCTGCACCGCACCGAGCACTGGTAGTCGCTCTGTGGCTCTGCCTACCCCGTTCTGTCCACCCGTCTCCCGGGTACCCCTTCGCCCTCTCCTCTCCTCTCCCGATCGCTATCTCTGTGTCTCCGGTTAGCAGTGGCGGCAGGTGCAGCAGGCAAACATTCCCGCCCGCTCTCTGAATACTATCTCTGACGGGCGTGTCACGACGGAGGGGTGTCCTCAGATGTCGGGCGAGGGCTTGGCTGACGACAGTCAGGAGGGCAGGGTGCAAATAATGTGGCAATAGGAATGAGTTAAGACTTAAGAGTGAAGGGAAGACAATAAAGGGCATGTCGAACTTTTATTTTAATTTCTGTAAGGTTTTGTAATGTTTTGTGCATGTCTATGGCAACTGTTTATTGAGTTTGTGCTCGAATAGGTGTTAGCGACTGTGACATATCCTTTTAGAGTAATACTTCTGGGCTTATCAGGGGCGATGTCGGCAGTACATTCAGCTTTGTCATGCTCGCTTCACCGTTGCCTGTACTAGATGCAAATGTGCTAGATAAGAGATCGACGACCGACAATAGACACGCACAGTGCGTGAACTGCGTTTCAGACGACGCCCAGGCGATGTAACGTGGCACGCGTAACGTCTTTATACGGCGCGTGGGTGTGACGATGTGGAGATAGCCAGGAAGCTCGGCTAGCTGAATCCCAGCTGGCACTAAACAGTGAACCCATGGATACGTTCGTCACAAATACACATTAAAACGAGGCAGTAATTGCTTGTTTATTATTGTTGTTACAGAAATGTTAAAACGTTATATTACACTCATAGTCTGCTGACGAGACGCATCAAAGTCACTTCCTAAAATCCTTAAAGACTCTAAAAACCGTTTTACATCTATTAGCAACTGAAACACTGGTATCACATCACGAATGGTGCGAGTGTTATCACAATAGATGACTTTACCTCATCATTCGTCGCAAATATTCAATTGTTAAATTAAAACTAATCTAGAAACTAACCAGATGACGACATTTTACCTGGTGTTACCCTGCAAAAACACCTCAATAAGGTACAACTGGAAACGCTTTCAATGGCCACTTAACTGACGTAACTATTCAACAAATGACTTACCAATACTCGGCAGCAGTTGTCACAGAAATAGCACATTTAAATGCGTCTCAGATCAGAATGACAGCAAACATCTTTCACATTTCCAAACAAACAAGGTTATTACTTGCTAAAGCAGTCTGCAAAAGACAATGTACACACTGCAAAGGTTCAGTTTTAGCTGCAGCAGTTCATCATACAGCTGTTATATATATATATATATATATATATATATATATATATATATATATATATATATATATGTTACAGGCCGTATGAAAACTCAGTCCGTTTGCAAACGGCCTGGCCCGATTCAGGCCGTTTGCAAACGGCCTGGACAGCCCAGTCAGTATGCAAACGGACTGAAAAGTCAGGCCGTTTGAATACGGGCTGAAATTCCAGGCTGTATGCAAACCGCCTGAAATTTCAGGCCGTTTGCAAACCGTCTAGGCCGTATGACAACTTTCCAGACACCAGGCCGTTTGCAAACGGTCTAGGCATTTTGAAAACAATCTGGTCTGCATAAAGTTACAGCTGGACAATGTTGAGTTTGTTGAAGCACGACCGTTTCATGACATCACATGGCACCATAAAATCCTGAGGTGCATTCGGCATCCGGAAAATATTGTCACTCGGATATTCTCCGTCGGAAAATTATTGTTGAGCGCCTATCTTCAGCATGTCTCGTTATCGCGATACCGTTCGTGATCCCCGATGATTCTCGCTAGTTCCGGAAAATTCTCCCTGATTTTCCCGATGACAAATGCAGGCTTGGTCAGGAAGAGATTAGCAGAACTGAGACCCGGCCCGTATAGCGCCCGGTCGACCCGGGCTTCCCCGGACTTCAAAGTTTCGCCTTCCACCGCAATGGTCAAGTATTGCCGGCTTACACCACCGGCCAGCCGCCGGCGGTCGACCGGGCGCGGTGAGGACTCTAATGTGAACCAGTGGCGCGGGAGCTTCTTCCAGACTGGGGGGGGGGGGGGGGGGCTGAACCATAATAGAGATCAACCTAGGGTACCCCAAATCTAGTTTCTCACCGGTGGCACCGCCCCCACGGCCCCAGAGCGGTAGGAGCAAGCTTGCCCCACTGCCCCCTCCCCGGTTCCCGCGCCTATGTATGAATCTATGAAATTATGTTGGTAGATTTCCGATTTCGATTCCTCCAGCTGGGGGGGAGGGGGGGGGGGCTCAAATACATTATGAGCCCCCCCCACCCCACCCCAGCCGAAAAGTTGGAGGGGCTCAGCCCTCGCTAGCCCCCCCCCCCCCCGTCCCGGTTCCCGCGCCACTGATGTGAACTCTGATGTCCATTGCGCGCTCCGGCGTTTTATGCCGCAAACTAATCGGTGAGTCTTGTAGTGATACGTTTCACCAGACCTCACCAGTAGTGGCTTCACCAGGCTCCATCAACTGGATGGCTGTACACAGGTGGACCCTAAACTTGTATAATTAGTAATATTGTCGAAAAACGGCCGGGCCGAGCATCAGCACAGTAAGAAAATGTTCGACGTATGTAGACGAGTCATTCTGCATGGAATGCGCAAGCATTCACATGGATGCAACCTAATCATCGACCAACCTGGATCCATTAAGTTCAATCTTCAGAGGCTGTTGTACTTCGCCAGACCGTTTGAAAACTGACTAGGCCGTTTTCAAACTGTCTCGGCCGTTTCAAATTGCCTAGGCCGTTTTAATACGGCCTGATATTTCAGGCGGTTTGCAAACGGCCGGCTTTTTCAGGCCGTTTTCAAACGGCCTGACTGGGCCAGGCCGTTTGCAAACGGACTGGGCTTTCATACGGTCTGCAACATATATACGGATGCCAGTTTTTATAGACGTTCGGACGCCAGTTCTCAAGGAACCATACAAGCTGATATGCAGCTCCGAGGGGTTCATTTTACAGACCTTTTGAAGCGAAGGAAATGTCCCTTTTCCTTCGCTCAGAGCATAATGACAATTGCTTTCATCTACCATAGGCTAAGAAAGTTTTTTTTTTTGGCACAAATCTTCGTTTAAACAAACAAATAATCCAAGCTATACACCAGTTGTTCCACCCCTATCTCATCACTCCGACCCTGGCAAACACACCGTCGGTCGACTTTGTCATGTGGGCGTCGACGTGAGGATCTTGATCTTGCGATGCAGTTCTTGACTCCAGCATAGGCACTGTTGTGTCTATGGCTGTCACACTATCATTTAGAGCATCGTCCAGCGCCGGTCACCGATATTCGATCCTGGAAATATTGAAAACAAAGTCATGTAACGCGAGAATTTGATTAAGTAACAATTATTAACATAACAAATAAATCATGAAAACATTAAAGAAGAGACGCAGCAATTCACCTTCATGGATAGTAATGGCGTGGTCGTCTGAGTCCGTCCGCACGTCGTCTGTTTCGTTGTGTCTGTTCTCAGTATCGTCCTCGGTGTCTCCTCTGTCCGTCCTTGTCCTGTCCCCGCTCGTTTCTTCTGCAGTATACCCTCCCACTGCTTCCTATTCGGTGACCGTGGCGTCTGCCCTTGGTATGTCATCTGACACTCGCCCATGGGCGGGGCCGATATGGTAACCCCCCCCCCCCCCCCGGTCCGGCCCGCCCGTATCGAGGTCAGTGACCCCACCTGTCCAGTCTATCCTGTGTGGGTGTCGGTCAAATCGCCTGTCAGGGCGGGGCGGAGTGCACACATAGCCCCCGAGCGGCTGTCGTCTCTCTGCGGCCAGAAAGTGGTTAATATTCCCTCACCAACCCCGTGGTGATGGGTCGACATGAGTCCCGGAATGTGTGAGAATCGTGCAGCTAAGCTGGTGAAATTGAATAGTGCAAAGGCGTTGAGTGTCGTTGTTTGTGACCGGTCGTTTGTCACGGACGGCTGAATATGGACGCATGCTGCTGGGCGCCACTGGGGTGGTAATGGTCGAACGAGTGGACTTCTGTCAGCTACATCTGTTGTTGTCTGACTTGCAACTTGTTCGCAAGCCGGATATAGCCTGAGATGATTACTGAGATGGATGGTGGTCAGTGAAGTTCAGTATCCATTATTGTTACCTCATGGCTAAAGAAGGCTTGTGAATCTTGCCTTTCATAGCGGCGAAGTGGTAAATGCATCGATAAAAAAGTATTGTTGAGCTGGCCGGCAAAAGTAGTACATCTCATGACCTGCAAAACAGGAAAATTCCCTGCCGCAGCTAGATTATATTTGATTAACTACGCCTTAATCCAATTTAAATAGCAGTTATGTCTTGATGAGCTATCGTCTTTAATGAGTTGTAATAAACAGCATGTAGCACATTCATTCACCGATTGGCGAATGAGAAGGCCAATCATGCTCGTTGCAACGAGAGCAGTGCTCTCATTGGGATAGAGATCACAAGTCTATGGAGGCGGCATGGAAAAATAACAGTCATGCCCATCACAAAGGACCTCCTCCCTAAAAGTACTGCATCACCGAATAAAAACGAAAGTTGGCATCGCCTTTTTTGTAGGATTGAATCCATGAAAATGTACGGACTACGCACTACGCAGCACTAACTACTAACGTGTACAGGTCTCCAAGATTCTCGTTAAATCCAGTTCTGTGAAGCCTTTACAATTTACATCCCTAGATCACCACTCATTTCTCTGTAAGATCGTTATATTGAAACTATCAAGCAGTTACAAGCAGGCAGTTCTATGGTAAAACAGTAGCAACACCATAAACAGCTGGTACGCTAAATGATCTTGACTCCGTGATCATTCAGCCTAACTAATATGCAAACTAAATTTTTGTGCAAAAAGTAAGTGCTCACCCGTTACTTAAGATTCGTGGAAGCTATCGTCAACTGGATGATATTTGATACTGGTGTTGCGGACAGGTGGCATGCTGCAATGCGCTAAAAGTGAAAAGTCATCATGTAGTGTTAACTGAAAAATACGCCGCATTAGGTTATCGGTATTCCAATGTCGTAATTCGAAGGCATGCTTCGGTCATCCGGAGATACATTTCACATGTGACTTGATCAAGTCGTAGCTGTTCTGACCGATCAACTAAGCATGCAGCTGGCAATGCCAGAGCTGAGCTGACGGTTACGATCATTCGTATCGTCTCACTATCGTGTTGGCAATGCTGTTTTGTGCTAATGTTGACGTGGTTTACAAGTCAGGAAGGTCAAGCCGTCGAATATATCAAAGTCGGTGCAGATAAGCCGTCACTAAAGTTTTTGTCGATGGGGCTCATAGGAATGTCTCCACAGAATTATTAAAGCTGCTGTCTTGTCCCCGCTGCATTGCCTTGGTCATCGCGCTGCCACTGTTTATGTCGCTGTCACCTTTGCCAGGTCGTCAGGGCACTTGTCTTACTATCTGACGTCGTCCTTATGTCAGGTCATCGTCGGTTATTCCCGTCTATCTTGTCAACGTTCTTGTCCGTCATCGTCCACACGCTGTCGGTCATAGTAACCAGACGGTTCAGAAGGGGCCGCTCTGATCAAATCGTTCCCAGTCGACTCACAGTGGCAGTACACATTGCCGGGAGCAGAGCGACGGGCAGCACTTCTTCGGACCCGGGCAGTGATCGTCCGCGTCGCAAACGTTGACCCTCGACGAGCCGCGGCAGGGCGGCCGGAAATCGTCGATGAAGGAGGGCGGAGGGCAGAACCCCGCTTTGGTCGAGAGGACCTCGTCTGAAAGCAGACAAAAAGGACAGTTTTAGCTTGACGCGAGTTAAGTAGAACATTTATATGCTGGTTGTTAACGGTTGATGTATCGTATGCTGACTCTTCAGGTGACGAAGGGGCAAGAGCGCGGCAAGGACTATTGGAGTTAATGAAGGCACCAAAACGGTTACCGGCCAGCTCTACTGTTAACGGTCACAGCTTTTACCGGCGCCCACCTGCGGCTCCCAGATAGGTGCTATTAGTCACAGATCTGCGAGTCACGACTGGACATCACTGGTAATGACTTTTGGCGCCGCCATGAAATTAAGCAAACTCATGAATGCATTTACCTGTTTGCTAAGCTGTGTCTATACGGCGACGCGTCAGTGCGAGATGCCGTCGAGCCCCTACGAGCGGTTTAATTATGTAAAATGAGCGTTTGTGTAAGACGGTGCCTTGTGAAACGCCCGACACACAAGTGTTAACATACTTGACAGTTGAAGAGGATATTTGAACTATATCTACGTTGGAGAGGCGTATTGCATGCAAACTATCCTGTTGCAATGCACACGACTACTTACATATCAGTGTAGTAAGGCAGAGAACGACGGCGATAGGAAAATAAAGCTAGCTAGCAATTGTAAGAAAGTGAAAGGCGATAGACAGCCAAAACGTTGAGAGGTTTCAAAGAACAATCAACGACAATATAATTACGATGAATTAAAAAAAAAAGTTGATCCATTGTCGCACCTGGTGGGACGCAGGAGAAGACACAGCCGTTGTGGCAGCACTTGAGTCCCTGCGGGCACTGGTGGTCGTTGGCCCTGTAGCACTTGGGTCTGCCGTCCCTCCAGCAACGAACGGCCACGTGCCAGGAGATGGCCGGACATGAGCCGGGCCGCGCCGGCGGCTGGCACACCAGGCCACAGCCGCTCGGACAGCACTTGGTCCGGCCCCAACAGTGACTGTCCCACAGACAGAGGTTCCGCTTCGGCTGCCGGCACCTCAGCCGCTCCAGGGGTGCGTGGGGACAGCCGCCGGGCTTTGGGGCAGTCGGATCTGACGAGCGGGCGTCGAACAGGTCAGCATGGGTCATACCGGGTCATCAGAGGTCGCAAAGTGGGCGGCAAATGTTGCTACCAGTTTCCAGATTCGTCCCATGCAGAAAAACTACCATGTTCTCATAAAGGCATTATCACAAAAGTTTGCGTGCGCTGCTACGTACTTGGAGAGCTTTTCATCGCTTGTTCAGAGGGCAAAAATCAGTCATATACTGGCATTTGAATTCAACATTTCAGTCGCTTGAATAATTTGTTTCACTTGAAATTCATGAAGGCTTGGTGTCGGGTCACAAGGTCTGTTGGCAGTCTGTCACCATCAGTCACGTCATTTGTTACGTCATATCCCCATTATCATGCCTTTAGTCACGTCAGGTCTCCATCAGTCATATGTCATCTCCCTCCTCTGTGTTTCAGTAGCTCGTTACCGATCCTGTCCGTGACTGAACTGCTATGATGCGTCTGTTCTAGCGGCTCGGCAGGCCATGGCAACAATTCGTTCTAAGTAGCAGAGGCGGGCACGATTGGCTACCGTCATTGGTTATTCACTTGCCAACAATCGCCAGCGGCTGGCACAGGTGCGGCTCGATAAACAGTCCCAATCAGTCTCAGTCAAAGTGGAGATTATCCACTCAGGGACCGAGAATAATCGTCCAGTCATCGTCTTCAAGTCGGTCCGATGGAGGAGGTCCTACTGTCTAGAAGTTCCCGAAGGCTTTGTCGCAGTCACGATGGAAGTAGGTCGTCGACGGGTTAGATGCGTACTAGCAGAGGTCAGGTCACGTTTCAGGTTAACTCGGGCGTCATCTCAGTCTCAGTCGATGAAGAAATGTTGTCCATGAACAGTAAATGAATGATTGTCTTCATCGTATGGATGATATTAAGCCGTTGACAAAATATTGAAATAAATAGAATATATGTACATAGATGTGAAGAAAGGTGCGTTGAAGATCGAAGCATGATGGGAGGCTGCGCGCTAGCATATTTACAAGCAGGCGTTCGATGCCAGAAACAATAAGCATGGAGAGTTGACAAAAGCATTCAATGAAATAAAGTGGAGTTGGATCGATCGTTGATTGCGTCGTCCATTTGTTAAAATTGTCCGTCCGTATGTTTTCATGTCAGGCATCATACATACGAGTCAATGCTTACTTTCATGTTGAGCTTTTCTACATTTATTTTGCACATGCTAAAAAAAGTGCATAGTGTAGAAACACAGATTGAATTTGAGCAAGTGTTTCATCTCAATTCATTTTCTCATTACGCATGTCGACACCCACTCGCGTTTTGCCGATATTTCATCGGATAACGACCTCGGTCTGACTCGGCAGCCCCTGCCCACCAGGCCGTATCGGTACCTAGCCGCTGGGGGCGTAATGTGCCGACCATCTTTACTGCCACGACGGTGCTGGTTACATCAAGGCGGGGCCCCTCCATGCAGGGCTTTACGGGTGTTACGTCCACTTTACGATACCGTCGGGCAATCTCGATTCGGCGCGCCAAATATGGCAGCTCGGATGGCGCCGCGTCTGCCGATGAGCGAATCGCCCCCGAGCGCTGCCAAACTGGGCCATATGTGGCGGACATGTGAGAGTCAGTCGTGTGAGATATCGGAGACGGTGAGAGAGGCCCGTGATGGTGGTCCCTGCGCAGCTCTCCGGGCTTACCTTCAGCCACGACGGCCGCCTGGATGTCTGCAGTGATCTCCGGTACTGCCGGCAAGGCGAGAAACATGTCAGGAGTGCATCTATCAGGATTTTGAGCATCAGCGTAGTTTTTTTTTTGGTATGTGACGTCATTTAAAAATTTCATCAAGGCACAGTGCGAGGAAGCTTTTAAAACCCTATGCATTGCCAATGCGTGGTAATCGTAAAACGTTTACCATGAGATTATCTGTCAGGAGTTGCGGAAAGAGCCCTCAGGACAGGGAGTTAACATGTCTAAGCGGTAATAAAGGGATGAATGAAGTTGTGTATTGGCCGCAGGGGTGGGAGGCAGCGCAGTGCAGCAGTAATCAGAGGGATCGGAAGATTGCACGAACCATAGCTGAAAACAATCTGATTGTATAGGTACCGACTAAAGAGGGCCATCGGGGCTGCCGAATGGGTGTAATCTGTCTTCGGTCGATCTGAATGTAGACCTGTTGGTAGTGTTGCTAGCATTGTTTAGGAAGTCAGTGAGTACTGAACACGGAATACTTTCCTTTTGGTATTACGCAAACAGTGAGTAATGACGACACAAAGGATCCAAGATGTCGGTGGAATCAGCTGTGCAAGCGATGCTGCATAGTGCATCGGGCACGGTTTTATCAGATTGAGCGACCCCACATCGCGCTGATATTCTAATGCTATACAGGGCGCGTCCCATGTTCCGACCAGCTCGTAACGTACATAGATTTCTGCTGCCTGCAGCTGCATGCTTGTAGGAAAGATAAGGTTCATTGAAATTCACTCACGACATTGATCATAGTAGGACTACGTTTGACCTGTCATGTTGCATTGTTGTTTTTGAGTGGTACTGTCGATGGTATGTTGACGTAAATAGAATCCAGATTTCAGTTTCCAGTTGTCTGCAAGTACGAGGGAGCAAGAGACGTTACTTGTGCTACAAAATATAGTGGAGGTGGTCCACAGCGAAGAGCAAGATGTTTTAGGCACTTGAATTGTATTGCTTTGATTTCAGCATTTAATAAGGTGGGAATTTTAACAATACGAGGAAAACAAAACGCGTTCCATTTCCATTTCGGTCAATACATTCTATAAAAAATGCCGGATAGGTAGAAGAAACAAAACCGATGGAACTTCCAGGACTGGAATGCAGGTCCTGTCAATAAGATCCGTCCAGCATTCACACTGACTGACAGCAAGGTCTATAGCAGAGCCCATCGTCTATTTCCCTAGCCACATGCATCACTGAGCAGATGCAGAGACCGAGACACTCTCTGCCGCAGCACTTTTCCTGTCCACCTATCACTCTGTCTGCTCGGCCAGAGCTGTCGACAAGCTACCGGCAGAAAACATTAGTGACCAGACATTACAATGCCATCGATGCGCTCATGAAAACAACCGGCATCGCGAACCTATCAGTCTGAGAGTAGCTCTAAGAAGAACTTACTAACTATAACCAAGACCCATGCATAGCTTATGCATAGATTTCAATTTCAATAATTTTGAGCCACTTTCCAGTCCTATCGTACTTCATGGTGACAAACCAAACCTTGCGAATTCACAACTCATGCACCGAGCACTGAAGATTCAGATCATTTAAAGGTATTATTTGATCATTTGTATAGGGAATAGTGTCTCAGTGTCCACACACACTTCATGTCTTCACGAGGCAGCCTCGTCGTTCGGCCCACGTTAAAGCATGTGCCGTTGCATGGCCCATTATAATGTGCCATATGTAAGGGCGTAATGGTGCGACGCTGACAGAGCCGCCCACTTATGACGTCAGTCGATATGCACTGCGTAGGAAAATAATGACGTCATCAAGGGTGGGTGTAAGGAGGTCGTCAGTCGGCCATTGAAATAAGGGTTCATGAAGGGGTTCACTATAGGACGTTATTAATGCTGCAATATTTTAACTTTGTTGGATGTGATTCATTCGGCATGACAGGGGGAACTACATATCAATCTTTTGATAAATGGTTTTACTAATTGCTCTGATTGGACCAATTCCATTGCAAGTGACTGAGTGACCAAGAACAACGGTGTAGTGACTGAACTGCTGTGAGGGCTCTGAAGATGGCTACAAAACAATAATTTTTGTTTGATAACGATAAGTAATTCACATCGACGACATCGTAGCTTGATAACTTCGCTCTCTAATTCTTCCTTGATGCATCATCTCCCTCTCCCTCTCCCTCTCCCTCTCCCTCTCCCTCTCCCTCTCCCTCTCCCTCTCCCTCTCCCTCTCCCTCTCCCTCTCCCTCTCCCTCTCCCTCTCCCTCTCCCTCTCCCTCTCCCTCTCCCTCTCCCTCTCCCTCTCCCTCTCCCTCTCCCCTCCCTCTCTCCTCCCCCTATCTCTCTCCCTCCCTCTCTCCCCCCTCACCTGGCGGCAGACAGAAGTGGTTGCCGGCCAGCTGGCAGCATTTCAGCGCGGTCGGACACTCGAGCTGTTCGGGCCGACTGGGTCGGCACGGTACCAGCTCGCGCAGCAGGGCGTCTCGTTCCTCCAACTCCGACTCACTCGACGGACACCGGCCCGGCCGCGCTGTCAGGGAAGAACACATATTTTGG